CTAGACTACTGACATCTCCAAGAGCTAATTGGAGTGAGATGTCAGCCAACTGGAGTCCAATCAATGAGATGAGATTGGAGGTGTTGGTTACAGCTGCCCTGCCCTATAAAAAACACACACCAGTTCTGGGTTTGCTTTTTATTAGTGATATTGCAGAAGGTCTTGATGGTAAGGTATGTCTTTTTGCTGATGATACGAAGATATGTAAAAGGGTTGATGTTCCAGGAGGGATAAGCCAAATGGCAAATGATTTAGGTAAACTAGAAAAATGATCAGAATTGTGGCAACTGACATTTAATGTGGATAAGTGCAAGATAATGCACAAGATAAGGGCAGAGTACAGAATATTTGATAGAGTCCTAATCTCAACATATGAGGAAAGGGATTTAGGGGTGATTATTTCTGATGATTTAAAGGTAGGCAGACAATGTAATAGAGCAGCAGGAAATGCTAGCAGAATGTTTGGTTGTATAGGGAGAGGTATTAGCAGTAGAAAGAGGGAAGTGCTCATGCCATTGTACAGAACACTGGTGAGACCTCAGAGGATATTGACACCTTAGAGAGGGTTCAGAGAAGGGCTACTAAACTGGTTCATGGATTGTGGGATAAAACTTACCAGGAAAGGTTAAAGGATCTTAACATGTATAGCTTGGAGGAAAGACGAGACGGGGGGATATGATAGAAACATTTAAATATATAAAGGGAATCAACACAGTAAAGGAGGAGACTTTATATCAGGAAGTATTATTTTACTGAGAGGGTAGTGGATGCATGGAATAGCCTTCCAGCTGAAGTGGTAGAGGTTAACACAGTAAAGGAGTTTAAGCATGCGTGGGATAGGCATAAGGCTATCCTAACTATAAGATAAGGCTAGGGACTAAAGAAAGTATTTAGAAAATTTGGCAGACTAGTTGGGCCGAATAGTTCTTATCTATTATTTAAGAGATTAGAATATAAACGTCATGATCCGATTACGTTAAAGAAATGGGACCAACTTCTTGATAAAGGCTCTCTACTATTGATGGTATTTTTAATTAATGAAAAAAAGAAAGATCTAGAGAAGTTAGACAAAGAAATCTCTGAATTGAAAAACCAGATTCGACCCCTAGTGGAGAGTGGAGATTTTGTGGGGCTTCTGGAAAAAATGGAAAAAAGGATAAAGGATTTGGAAGAGACCATTAGAGAAGTGAAAAGAAAGAAAATTCTGAGAGATCAGGTTGATTATAAAACGAAGACACTGGAAAAAAGATTCAAAGTTCCAACAGTATTCCCCAAGTCAAGAAAACAATAGATCTAAGTTAAGATCACAACATCATCATAAAACATATAGAGATGCTCTAACCTTCTATCAATCTCCCATGAAGACAGACCCACGGAGTTATCCACACAATAGATATGTATATCCAAAAAGAAATGACAATAGGAATGACAGATATTATCAACAAAGGACACAGAGGTATGTTGAATATAGAAGTCATCAGAATAGAGAAAAGTATCAGAACCCACCCACACCACAAAATAAAGAGAGACGCATTGTGAAAACCTCTCAAAATCCAAGACAATATCATTCAACTTCAGACAGAAACAGCTATGGTACCAAATCTCCAGAACCAAGAAGAAATCGACTACAAGATACACCACCTGTAGGTTTGCCAAGTAGATCTACTGAGGACTCTCAATCAAATATAGTGAATGATTTTTTAGAGAAAAGGGGGAGGATACCCCCCAGAAGATTTTCGATAGAAGACTTCAAGTCACCAGAACTAAGAAGAAAACGAACACTAAGAGACATAGAGGAAGGAATAGAAGAAGCAGAAGACCAGACAGTACAGAAAAGGAGGAAGTAAATATCTTTAATTTATCCGATAGGATTCTAAATACAGACGAACTGTCACTACTTAAAAAAGGCCTAAAATTTGCACCCACTTCCGAGAATTCCAGTTTTAACGCTTTCATTGACCTACATAAGTTTATACGGAAAATATGTGTTAAGAAATTCTTTATGGAAAAAGAGGTAACACCACAAGAAAGTGAACAGAGATATGTACAGACAGAACTACACCCCAGATCTACATTCTATCCTCAATACGTGAAAAATGACTGTATTAGGACATTTGAAAAAATGGTGGAAAGGGATTTTAGGATAAAATTAAAGAATAATACAAAGAAGGACAATCTGAATAAGAGAGAAAGAAAGAGCCTAAAAGGACTTATGAAATTGGAGGATATAACCATCAAACCGGCGGACAAAAGGAGGTGGGGTGGTTATTCTTAATACCAAGGACTACATAGAAGAGAATCTCAGATTATTAGGAGATAGTGATACATACCAACTATTAGAAAAGGATCCAACCTTAAAGGATTACTTGATTTTGGTAAAGAAAGAGGAATTATAAATGAAAGAGAATTCAAGTATATAGGGGTGAAATTCCCAAGAATTCCGGTATTTTATCATTTACCTAAAATACATAAAAAATTGCAGAATCCACCTGGTAGACCTATTATTTCTGGGATTGGATCTCTTACGGCCAATCTGTCAGAATATGTTGATCAGTACCTGCAGAACTCAGTGGTCTGTCTGAAATCGTACCTGAACCTACTTTCAGATTTTCAATGGGAAAAAGATATGATCCTGGTTACGGCTGACGTCACGTCATTATATACCGTTATTGAGCATCTGCAAGGCTGTGAAGCCATTCAATATTCTCTAGCAATATACTCCAAACTAAAGAATGATCAAATAGATTTTTTGGTGTCATGTATAGCATTTATTCTGACACACAATTACTTCTGGGCTGAAGACAATTACTATCTACAAATAGAAGGCACTGCCATGGGGACACGTTTTGCGCCAAGCTGTGCCAATCTTTTTATGGGCAAATGGGAGGATGAGTTTATATGGGACCATTGCCCCTTTGGCGCAAAACTGTCCCTATGGCGGAGGTATATCGACGACTGTTTCTTTATATGGAAAGGGGATCTTGAATCTTTGGAAGAATTTAAGATCTACTTAAACAATAATCCATACCACCTCAATTTTACCTTTACCCAATCCAGAGAATATGTGGAGTTCCTTGATCTTAACATATACGTAGAAGAAGATAAACTACAAACTAAAACCTTTAAAAAGAATGTTGATTGCAAAAGCTTCATTCCCTACAACAGCCATCACAGACCCATGTGGCTGAGAAATATCCCTCAAAACCAATTTAGAAGAATCAGACGTAACTGTTCAAAATTGGAAATATGTAAAACACAGATGGAGGAGATGAAAGAAAGATTTATCACGAAAGGATACCCCATAGATCTATTGGAAGAAGCTGTAGACAAAACCCTTAAGATACCACGAGAAGAAAGTTTATGTAACAAGATCAAGTTAGACAAACCCAATAACAATACTCCAGCTTTCATTACGAAGTACAGTAATCCATCACAGGTGATACAAAGAATACTTAGAAAACATTGGGGCATATTAAAAAGTGATTCCACTATATCACAATTTATGGAGGATAAGCCAAAAATGATATTCACGAGAGCCCCTAACCTTAAATTGATGCTGGCCCCTACCATCAAATCAGAAAATACTAAGAGAATATTAGGAAACCAAAGATGCTTTACGAGATGTCAGAAATGCATTGGATGTAGGAATAATCCTAAAGCAAAAATAAAAAACACCGGATTTATCTCATCCAATGACCAGAAAGAATATAAAATTAAGACAGAAATGAACTGTAACACTGTAGGAGTGATATACCTCATCACATGTCCTTGTCAAAAATACTATGTGGGACGGACTAAAAGACCTTTAAAAACTAGGATTGCGGAGCATATCCGAAACATAAAGAAAGGCTTATTAACTCACAATTTATCAAAGCACTTTAAAGAGATACATGATGCAGATCCCACAGGCCTGACCTTTATGGCAATAGAAAAAGTTAATGTACACTGGAGAGGAGGGAGTATAGACACCAATTTAGACCAAGCTGAAACAAAATGGATATTTTCTCTTAATACTTTAGCCCCTAATGGTCTGAATATATATTTCGAACTAAATGCATTTTTATGAGACTTTTATGCTCTTTTTTAACCTGATTTTTATTTTATTTTTATTTTTATATTCATTTCTATTTTTATTTTATTATTTTTTATATTTTATATTTTATATCTTTTTTTTTTTTTTTTATTTTATATTTTATTTATATCTGTATTTTTATTCTTACATCTATTTTTTATATCTTTATATTTTTTATTCATTTTTAGCAAATAGCTAACTTCCATTTTTATACATATATCTGGCCATTCTTCTAAATACTAACATTTACATTTTTGCCCGATATATGTTTTATACATTTTTATACCTTTATAGTAGAGTTTGCATAGTGTAATGTATTTGCTTTCCCTGCTCTATTCATATATACACCCAAGCTATGGTATTATAATTATATATTTATGTCTCTTTCTATATGCTCCCTAACCTACTTGATATATCTGCCCTTTTAGAACACTTAATCTGCATAAGATGTAGGATCTATGAAGATATTTTTAATACAACCCATTCCCC